TTCATGCACTTCTCTACGCGATGGAGAAAGTCGTCGAGCAGCAGCAGAAGATAGTAATCGATGCTACCGTTGTCTCGAGTGGTGGTGTGCAGGAGGAGCACGCTGTCCAAAATATCATAGCCGTTGCTTCCATTGCGGAAAGTCGGATCATCACTCAGCACTGTGCTGCGAACCCGATGTCGCTGAGAAAATGCAAATCGAGATTGACGTTCTGAAGGAAGGAAGCGAGGTCAATGAAAAGACAACGCGACCAACTCCAGCAAATTATCGACCAGTTCAATATGAGCCTATGACTCATCACCGCCTTTCGGTGGGAGTATCGCGGTTAGCGATAGGAAAACACGCTACTTAAACTATGCGACTATGAGTCAGGCGCGCTAAAGCGAACTGTAAGCGCCTGACTGCGACACCTGCGCTCTTCTTGAGCAGGGCAAAAAAGTGTAAGGGACTGTAGCTGTAGCTAGCCAGCTGTGAACGCTTCTATAAAGAGGATGACATGGCTCCTTCCCGCAATTAATCCAGCAGTTCATCCCCACATGCTATCAATTTGATCTTCTCATTTCATGTCCATTCAATCATCACAATTTAATGTCAATGTTCTCACTTTATTGATTTAATGTATTATTGCCGGGTCGATTGTGGTAGTAGTTGTTAGTGACTTTGTTTAATTACCCAAGTTTGAGATTCCCAATAAATTGGCGTAGTCGAGACGAAGAACAGAAGACAAGAACGCGTGGCAGAGAACAATTTTACCACCTCCTAGCTACAACAGAGTAACTGTTTGTTAAGAACTGTAACGCAATACGTACTTGATTTTGCATATTGCTGTGCGAGATTCAATGCAGTGGTCCATTGTTAAAATACTGCTTGCTTGAGTCGTACCTCCGGACAGTAGTGTTTTGAGCATTCGCTGACGGCTTTGCTTGCCCTTACATCGGCCTTCATATCTTGTCGTAACCAGAAGTCGCTCACTCTTGGAGTTCAACGTGGCCATGAGAGGAGTTCATACAGCTGTTCGTACAGCTAGAGGTGGACTAGCCAACACTGCTGGAGGAGCTGCAAAGCAGTCAGATGGTAGCGTCAACTTGTGCGCATGGACGAAAAGAACCAGCCCACTGACCCTCGGATCACTACCAATTATTCTTCACGCATTATGACGTAGAACGATGGAGCAGTGGTAGTAGGGGTCCTCGTCAATGGTTCCCCAGATCCGCGCAGATCCCGGACTTGCCGAGGGACTTTGAAGCAAGTGTTTAGAGCTGGGAATTCAGAATCCAGAAACGTGCATCGCACTAGGCACCCTTGTGGTTCCATCAGTAGGGACTGCAGGCACCAAGGCATCGAACCTTTCTCATCAGAAAGAAGCGACGCGCAGTCAGAGTGTGGAAGCATCTTGAGATCTGCGCCTGGTTCCTATTATCCTACGTAGGCTCTTATGAATAAGGTGACCCGAGCTACTGAGCGATTGCAATTGCGCAAGGTGCGATCCTTGTCTGCGAAGTCAGCACTAAAATCTTAGGAACACTTGAATCAGCTCAGAACCTTCGCTAGGCTGCCGTTTCTTGGCATGCAGAAAAGTTTCAGTTCTTGTTTGAACGCAGAAAATTGAGGGTGTCAAAGGATTGTTCTTGTAGGTTGATGATCCATGTTCTGCTCTTGAAAGTCAACAGAAAGCGAGAAAAATTCTCTACCCACCTGTAGAGAGCTCATTCGAAAGAAATCTCAGTTTTGATGTAAAATGAAAAAAAGAAAAAGCAAAAGATATCACTTATGAGCTCACCTATTACGTTGTTTTCAGATTGAATGGTCTGGATATTTCCGTTCCATCGCGCCGCCCTCTCTCCATAAATACTTTGCGACTAATCCGGATATTGTGGTCGCCGAAATTGATTATATTCGAAAGTAATATGGGCAGGTAATAGATGACGAATGATGATACTGCTGATTATTTTCAGCGTTTCCAAGCTGCTACACTCAACTGACCCTCGGATTATTACCAATTATGTCTTCACTCGGTTTGTCTCTCGCTGGAGTGGAGAACTCGGAGAACGATTCGATGATGTCTCACAGGTTTCAAGCATTGCTCAAACCTATATTTGGCTCACAATATAAAAGTCAAAAGTAAAATTGGTCCCCTAAACCCCTAAATTTCACGAGAAATCTGGGCTAGCGAGTGAGTGCAAGCTCACCCATTTCCTGTCCATACCATAGTATATCGCACTTGGAGACATGAGGCTATACCAGACCTATGGCCCGTTATCTGTGAGACATATTGTCATAGACGGCAAAAAACCTAAAGCTTTTATAAAATAGTCATGCTTGCAGATGACTGCTGCGCTCTATTGGACCGCAGTAGACGGATGTACAGGGGGGGGGCAAAAAAAGACATTTCGACCGAGTCACATATCAGCAAAGTTTTCGCAGCCCAGACAGAGGACGTGGATACGAGTACCAGGGCGGAAGATACCCAAGATGTTCCTCTATAAGCAGGAGCTGGCTCTCGCCCATCACCTTCATGTACACCAAAATATGAAGTCATCTCCAGCCGCAACCTGACTGGAGAAGACCTTTGGAATTCATGTCACCTCCGAACAGCTGCGAAACTTCTAGTATGGAGTCACCCATAAATAGCTACCTGGAGAGCAGTACTCTCGATCTGGAAGACCTCCATCATCGAGCAGCTCCGTCAACGTCGCTACGGTCTAGGACATCATCTTCACCTCAGTCGCCAAGGCGCCAGTTGATGGTGGGGACCGGACGTACCTGGAATGGAGAGACCGATATTTTCTTCGTGGGCCCCGGACTAAAGGTGAGCGCTGGCGGTTACATTGGGCAACTCGTGAAGAATATCCTCCTCACATGTGGTCGCCCGTACCTTCTTGGAAACTTTGTACTGCTACAGCATTGGGTGCCACCACATGGAATCGAAGGGCGTTGGAGAAACTCTCGCCTACTTGGAATGGAAGGGGGCTGAGTACCTAAAGAAGATGGAATATCCAAGTAGGTCACCTGACCTGAATCCCCTCAATTACCCGGTTCGGGCGGAGTTCAATAGGGTGGTCTACGGTGGCGGAGAAATCGACTATCTCGCTGATCTCAGGCACCACATCGCGGTCGCGTGCCAGAATCTCTCGATGGCGCTCGTCCAGAAGGCTGTGGCGGAGTGTCATAGTATTTAATATGCTCTTTAATATGGTGGTAAAAATATCCGATAAGAATTTAATAAAGTGTAACTTACAACGCCTCGAAAGTCAAGGAAGAAAAAAGTCTTTTTTTGGCCCCCCACCCTGTAGGTACTGGTCGCTCCTAGAATGCAGACGTCTTTTGTCGACTGGGGCATTTTGCACTTTGGTTGCTTTACTACTTACGGTTTACATGTTTTACTCTTCTGGAATCTTCGAACTGTTGTGAAGCTGGAAAGAAGTTGTTAATTCACCATGGTTAATGGTATTTGCATGACGTTCCATTGCTTACAGGCGCAGCCTACAAGGATCGACAAGTGGTCCCCAGACTTTAGCAGCTATCACTGGCTTGACCAGATTTCACAGGTCTCACGCAATGGCTAGACACGTCATTGGGAAGCAGAAGAAGTGTAATGCGTTCCCTGGTGCAGAAATGCCCCTCTGTCCGCTATTGAGACACGCTTAGAGAGCTCAAGATGGGAAGTGGGAATTACCCAAGGAGTCCAATTTCGACCGCTCCGACAAGCATCGCACCCCAGTGAGTCCTACAGGGAACTTACCGATCAGCTTCTTCACAGGGATGCGCTAAAGGATGGGGAATTGGCATAGGTCATGGAATGACTTAATATCCACAGATAGCAACACCTGCACTCTACAGTTTGCGAGTCGCTCCCAAGAGGCGCCTTATGCCATGCAATTTTCACAATCCGAGTTTCCGTCTCCTAATCGCTCGAGCCAACTTCGGACCTTTGTGCGAAGCTCGGTTTCTCGGCCGCACAATTCATATGTTTTGAACTGCTTCTGCAGTCTGAGAACCTAGATGAAATGCAAAAAAGGTGCCAAAGATCTCATTCGTGTAGACCTCACACTACATTTCAATGAAGGCAAAAATAATAAAAACCGAGGAGGGATAGAAAACTATGTATACTGCACTGTAGAGAAGAAATAATTTATCGAACCAAATAGGAAGGACTGAGAATAGTTCTCACCTTTCCAACGAAATTTATGTATTCATGAACAAAAAGCCCTGCACCACCACAATCCTATGACATTTAAAGTTATCGCAGGGACGCTGAATTAAGTGCAAGAGTCATGACTCTAGGCGAAACTCGAACCTCACGCTTTCCCGGGCGAGGGCGCTATCCCTCACGCATATATCCTCATACTAAAATAACCTCAAACTGATGTAATAATTTTGTTTTACCTAAACATGTGGCATTTTAGGGAAGGTGAAGTAACTTCGGATTCATTATTTTTTTTTAATTTGAGAAAGAAGTGAAGTTCCATTCCTATCTAATTAAGGAGTTCGATCGTTTGATGTACGGGAAGATGCGAAAAGCACCCCGATGGAAGGAGTGCCCCTCTGAGGAAGCGATTCGGATAATGAAGCACGCTGTCGGTGCCATTTACGTCAGCAAAGTGTTTGACAAGGTAATTCCCCAAAGGTACCATAGAATCTTGTCGAATTCATGTCCTGCATGCTGTAAAATTTATAGGCAGCAAAGAACTCAACGTTGGAGATGGTAAACGATATGAAAGAGGCGTTCCACGGAATGCTACTTGAAGAAGACTGGATGGACAATATTACAAAAGAGGTTTATTTTTAGTGAAGAAAAAGAACTTGCACTAATCATAGTAGCTTGGTGTTCTGATCGCAACTCTGTAGAATGAAACTGGGTAGTCCTGGAACCCATTTCTACTCCGACAGGAACGACGAAAGTATAAAGTAGGCAATGATGTGCTTCGGTTTCAATGTATTTGTAGAGTCTCACATGTTACCCATCAATACGCTTACTTATTGCTGAGGGAAAGTGAGTATACTGGGTCGAAACACAAGCGCAGTGTGATCTGCACTCCTGTGTAATTCGCTAAAGGAACGAAAACACTGGATGTCATCAGTTCGATGGAAAGATATTTTCCCGACACCACTCAGCTGCTACTGCCCCAAAAACTCGGATATTTTCCGTAGGAACTTTGCTTGCAGGAGTTACACAGTTTCCTGATCACGAAGTAGGAACTTGGTCTTCTTCACGTTCAACCGGAGTCCATTCTCAGCGAGCACATCCTGCCACCGCTGCACCTTGTCCTGGAGTTCCTCCCTGCTGTCCGCTATCAGGGCGATGTCGTCAGCGTAGAGGATGGTTTTCAGTGGTCCCTCCATGAGTTCTTTTGCCATGACATCTAGAGTCAGGAGGAAGAGGAACGGGCTGAGGGCTGATCCTTGGTGTACCCCAACCGTGATGTTTACCTCTTTCGTCAAGCCGTGCGGGGTGCGTACAGCTGCTTTAGCCCCATCGTACATATCCTTCACTATGGAGACTAGGTGCTCCGGAACGTTACGTTCTCTCAGCGCTCTAGAGTACAGGCCGAGGCAGGCGGTCGAATGCCTTCTCAAGGTCCAGGAAGGCTAGGTAGCAGGGTCGCCGCTTCTCTCGGTACTTCTCCATCAGCTGTCTGGCGATGAAGATGGCATCAGTGGTGGACCTTTCGGGCATGAAGCCGAACTGTTCCTGCGAGATAGGGACAAGTTCCCTCAGCCTAGTGTTGACCAGGCGCTCGTACAGCTTCATGGTATGGGGAGTCAACTTGATGCCGCGGTAGTTGGAGCACTCCGTCGCGTCCCCTTTCTTTTGAAGATGGGACGATTGTGCTGCTCCTCCACGCATCTGGCATCCTTCCTTCAGCCGTTATGTTGTTTAGGAAGTGGGCCTTCCATGCCTCTATAGGGACCCAGTCTGGACCCACTGCTTTCCCAACTTTCATTCTCCCTAGCTCACGGCGGACTTCATCCTCTGTCCAGGGAGTGATGGGGCCTGCCGTCGCCTCTATCTGTGGGCTGTCCTTGCGGGGGAATTCTTCGTTCAGTAGTCCCTCGAAGTATTCTTCCCACCTCTTTCTGACTTCGGCTGGTTTCCTGAGAATGGCCCCGTTGCTGCTCTTCACAGTCTTTACGACCCTGATGTCCTGAGCCGCGCGATGCCGAGCTTTAGCCAGGCGGAAGACGAACTTGTCCCCTTCTCGGCCTTCCAGCTTCTCGTACAGGGCGTCCATTTCCGTATTCTTGGCCTTAGCAACGGCTGCCTTGGCGAGTCGCTTGCAGCTCTTGTAGGCAGCGTAGTCTTCTGGGCTCCGTGTCTTTTGCCAGCGTTTGTATGCTTCCTTCTTCTGCTTGACGATCCCCTGGACTTCCTCGTTCCAGAACCAGGCTGCCTTGTCTCCTCTGATGCCACCGCGTCCCAGGACTTCCCTCGCACTGACCTCGACTGCGTGGGTCCAGGTGTCCTGGACTGGCCCGTGTGGGTCTGGGAGCCCAGCCTCCAGTATTCTTCGGCCGAGGCTATCCTTTTCTACCTTGCGCATTTTCCACCACCGAATTCTTCGCTCTGCTCTCACCCTTGTCTTCTTGGGGAGGTCTATGGCGATGTCTGCCAGGAGAGGCCTGTGCTGAGGGCCCAGCTCTTCCCCAGGCAGTACCTTGATATCCTTGACGGTTTTGAGAGACGATCTTCTGACCAGGACATGGTCGATTTCCGTTTGTCTCCCTCCACTGCTGTAGGTTATCTTCTGAGTCCTCCTTTTCGCGAAGAAGGTGCTACAGATTGCTAAGTCGTGAGCTGTGGCTAGGTCAAGGATCCGTTCTCCCTCAGCGTTCTTTGCACCTATTCCTTGGCCTCCGTGCACCCTTTCTAGACCCCTTCTGTCATTTCCCACATGGCCATTCAGATCCCCAGCTATGGTGAGGTAGTCATCTTCCGGAACCGATCTTATGGCCTCGTCCAGGGTCAGGTAGAACTCATCCTTTTCCGCCTCGGAGCAACCGGATTGTGGTGCGTACACGGTCAGTACGGTCCAGTACCCTTCCTTCGTGTCCATTCTCACTCCCATGATCCGATCACTGATCTGTTCACAGAAGAGACGCAGTCCTTCAGGGATTCTGCCACCGCTATGGCCACGCCATTCCGTTTGGTGTCTGCTCCATTGTAGAAGAGTTTGACGCCTTCTCCAATCTCGCGGGCCTTCGCACCCTTCCATCGCGTTTCCTGAAGGCATAGGACTTGGATATTCCTGCGTCTCATGAGGTCGGCAACCTCACGAGACTTCCCGGTAAGCGACCCCACGTTCAGGGTCCCAATTCGAACTAGCTTCTTTGGCACAGAACTCGGGCGAGGGTTCTGCGCGCCACTTCCGGGTGACGTCCTAGCATTAACACTGATTCTATTGCCATTGTTGTGACGGGTTCCTCCATCAGCCGGCCTGTCAACCTGGGCCTGACGCTGGTATCGTCCCCATTTTTGCAATTTTTGCAAGGCAGGTTTGTGCCTCGGCAGGGATTGAACTCGTGGCTCAGGGTGTGAACGTGAGTCTACACTCTTAACCACTCGGCTATCCCTGCCTTGTACGTCTCGGAATGATTGCTCCCATTAAACCACACTCTAGTGAGTGGCCTATCTAGAGCTCATAAGCCTTGTCGTTCACCTTTTCCATGTCGCGCAGCCGGAAATAAGACAGAACAGACTTGGACAGACAGTACTTTCCAAAAATGGAGCCTCTTCGCGTTGGAAGTAGACCCATTGCCGTGCCTCAAGTTTCCGGGACTAGATCATTGCTAGAGCAAGCACAAAGGCGTAGACGCAGCTCGCTGGATCGTAGCCATTCTTGTGACCATGGTTCATGTGCAGCTTGCGGTACACGTCTGTTCTCGCAAGGAGTCGTGCTTCGCCCTATCGTCCAATAAGTGACGCTGGCAGTTGCTTCGCTTCAGAGTCATAGCTTTTTGCGTTCACAGAGATGTGTAGTTATCTTAAGAAACGAGCATGCAGCTTCACCGAAACCAGTCACTTCTAACTGTAGAAATGTACGTCGCTCCATTACCATTCACACGAACTGACCGTCGAGGAAGGTGCCTCTTACAAGCCCCTTCTTGGAACCCAGCTATCGTTTGTGTTGCGTCACTCTCACTCTATAACTCCGAGCGCTGGTGCTCAAAACGAATGCTGCATGTGACTACGGCACCGAATAAACCTCATATTCAAGTTTAGGTCAATTGCTGTGAAAGAGGCGCTTGAGCCAAGTCGGCGTATATTGACATTTACTGACACCAGTGCCAATAACAACTGCCTTACGCGTGACCGAAAGGGCTAAATCCTCTTCAAAGGAAAAGTTATAGTAAAACGTTTGAGCTTTGGGTAATAGTACTTGAAGAGTGCCTTTTCGTCGAATAATGGATTGTTACAATGACCCCAGTTTGAGCAACCTCTTTTTTTTCTTACTATAGAGGGCCACAGAATAAAGCAAGATTCTAGAAGTCTGCTTCAATTTCTCTCCTGTAATGCCCATTTTTGATGCACGACGTCAGATAAAGTTGTTCCGAAAACTAGTCACTAGTCAAGTAGTCATGTACTTGGGAACGATGACAACCTTCTATTTACTCTTGTTTTAAGGCTCTAAACTGCTCCAATGAATAGGAAACACACTCCAAAAACGATGTAAAAAATGTAGGAAACCGATAACTTGCTCCGAAATATCCTCCTTTATGTAGATCGCTTACAAGAAGTTTGCCTACTGGTGTAACCACATGTATATTTGTGTCCAACCAAAAATCATTATTTCCTTAGGTTCAGCTGCAGAGAGATCAAATTGATAAGTGATAAAAATGATGTGATGTGAACAGGTATGGTATCCGGCCCGAAGTGATAAGAGCAGATGTGAGCTGGTAAGGGGCTCAGAAGAGGGTGTTCACTAGACCCATGCACGGGTGATGGAGCGCTCAGACGTAGATTCTCAGAATGGGGAGCAGACGGGATCGTCAGTGGGAAGTGAAAGGATAGTGAGAGGATTAGAGTTGATAAGGGACCCGAAAGGAAGAGGGTCACGAATGTCGCACTGTGGATCAAAGTGGGATGTTGGTGTGATATTGGTCCCAGAAGTGTAATACTGGCCAGGACGAATGCATCATTAATCGGTAGAGGAAAAGATAACAACTGATACCATAGACAGGACATTAGCGCAGAGCATCCGTTGAAGAGTTCTCAACTGAGGGGTCGTATTTAATAGCTTGACAAAGGGGGCGGGATGGTGTTTTAAGAAATCAACAGTCAACAGATTAGTGAAAGCGCGGAGGCGGTACAAACGCTAGAAGCAGCCTCTGGAAGCGGGGAAGCGATTTTGATGTGAAGTGCAGGATCCTAGCGTACGAAACTGAGATCTCCGCCAGAAAAGCGCTAGAGGCATTCTGGATTTCCGCAAGGAATCCTAGGAATGAATAACCGAAATGAGTGTTTAGCCATAACAAATGATCTCTTACCGTTTTCACCACATTGCGAGCTAATGATGTAAGCCGTGAGATGTGCAAGTCCTGATAGCTACTACACAAGGACAGCACGGTGTGTCTCACTTACTTTACTAACATCTAGTGGAGCGGCGTTGATCCGCTCATGCCGCGGTGGACTCGGTGAGTATGTTTTACCTACGGGAGGTTTTTGGTTGTTTCTGGAAGTACCGTCGGAAACGCTGGGGCGACAAGGCGTTTGGCGGTGTAGAGAGCAAATTAAAAATCTTGAGCTACGTTCAGGCCTCTGAGGACGACGATCTGGTCGAAACGTTAGGCCGTAAATAAAGTTCCACCTACAAACTTCGTTGACTCAGAAGTAATAGAACATCAGCTAGAAGCAGTGTCAATTAAGTGGAAGTGTGAACAAGTGAGAACACTTGCATTTCCCAGGTGAAGTTGAAAGTGTAACAGGAGTTCAGTGGAACTAAAGAGCGTATCTTGTTCGCAAGGATTTCAGCAGTTGTCCTTCGGAAGCTGCATGTGAACGAAGTTAAGTTCTTCTAGAAAACACCAACTCCTAAACGACGACAACTTGCTGGACGATAGTTTTTTTTCTGTCTGAAGCCCGCTTTCGCTGCACGTAGTCAGAACTGTGAAGCATCAGGCTGGGGAGAATTGGTCGGTTAGTACGATCCCTTAAAACAGGTGTGTCCCCAGCTCTTCTACTAACTGAAAGAGCGAATAAAACATTAATTTGAACATTGAAAAGCTGCGTCTCATGTTAACATTGCATTTTCACTGGTTATTACCTCTAATATAATCTTGAAACTATTCAGATGTTGTACCTTCCTTCGAAAACAGAATTTCACAAAGTGACAGGCCATGTCACCTTTCCTTAGACCCTTTTACAATTTTTTACAAAGGTCTCTCCTCAAATCAGTCGTAGAGAATTTTCTAGATTAACAATGAAAATTCCCCGAAAAGTCTTCGACCTCTTACGGATCATAAATGGGTGTTCAAGGACTAAGGGAAAACTGCAAGTGCTCAAAGGTGGGATTTTCCTTTCCTGGTTGCTATATGGTTTCAATAACTACTTCTAATAAGTGCACGTTTCGAGGCAAAAAAAATGCAGACACCACCGAGTCAAGGCATCCTCAAAGTTTTGTTCTGCCCGATTCAGTCCACCTGCACGATTCAGCTCAGAAATATGTTCGCTAATCCCAAACCATTTCAGGCGGTTTTGGGTTAACGAACATATTTCTTTACATACATATTTTAAACCATAGAGAGCATATTTCACCTGCAATGTATAGGCTAGTTCTTCCTTCACTTGGCTCCTCAAATAAAGCAAATCGCGATCGCTGCTTCTATGTAATTTTTCCCCACGGCATTTGTCGTCTTTCCTCGAGCTCACTACGAATTTACAACATACCTAGTCTCCCCATTACATAGGCGAACGTATAGAGCTCCATATAATCTAAACTGAACGGTGGGATCAAGCTGTCATGCAGTCAAGCCAAAATATGTGAAGGTTGCTCCGGTTTCCCTCTCCAACATCACAAAAATCGCCAGAGAAAACCCATGAATATGCTCACGTAAACTGATAGGGGCAGTTTGATATGAAGAAGGTCATGTAGTAAGTCTATAAAATACCACATATTAGAAATTTGTAGAGACAGCTAATGCTAATGGAAGGCCTTTCGAGCAGTTTTGTTTCAGGCTGCTTCTGAGAAAATTCGAGAGATGTTGGTTAAAGTCGCGTATCCAGAGTTCATTCTCGACAGCAAGAAATTGGATAACTACTATGACAACGTAAGCGCCATTGAAGGATTTAGAGAAGCTCTTGGCTGACCACACGAGAGCTATAAGTATCCTGAATCAACTTTTCCTAATGTGGTTCAACTGGTATTTGGACTGAAACCGAATGTTTCTGGTTTTGCAGCTGCAGAGCTTAATTTTTAGTTTTCCGTGAAAGAACGGGATTCGTACAGCCAGATGGTAGAGAAACTGTTACGATGGGAGATAGTATTCGATTTGAAGCGCCTTCTCGAACCTGTCGATCGAACTGAGTTTGACTTTAGTCCTGCTGAAGTCAACGCCTTCAACGAACCCGAATCCAACGCGATAGGTGTGTGTTCAAAATTGTCAGAGCTTGACTCTATTCTAGATTTCGGGAGCGCACTCTCTTACGTTCGTATTCCAGGACTTCCTGCCGCTGTTCTACAAGCGCCATTCTTCCATCAGTCTTTTCCGAGGTAAACATATATAGACTGACACTACGGAAAACGTTTTTAACTCGAGCGTGAGATACGGTAATAACCCTCACAATAGACAGGGCATAAGGCAAGGGAGTTGCTTGGAGCGCAGATAATTCTAGCGGGCTCAGAATGGCATCATTGTTGGAGCAAGGGCACAGCCACGGCTCTGATACGCTCCCCGTCACACGCCCCAGCAGAGGGTTCATGACTGTACTAACAGTCCTCATCATTGCGGACCGGTGGGGCGTGGCAGTGCGGCTGCGTTTGGTGCGGTTTGGCAAAGTCGTTCTGCACCAGTTTTTGAAGCGGGCAAGTGCATTACTGTATTATATCCTTCGTATTACTCGTTTTCTACCACTTTTTGTCGCATACGCGTTTCAACAAAAAGGCTTCAACAGTGTGCGCACTCCTTCTGGCTGACACGCCCCACCGGTCCGCAATGGTGAGGACTGTATATATCCATATACAGGGGAGGCCAAAAGAGTCACTTCGCCTTATTGACTTTCGAGACGCTATAAGTTACACTTTATCAAATTCTGATCGGACATTTTTACTACCATATTGATATATTACTTTTATTATTTATTTATTATTGATATTTTTTATTAGTTATTCATTATTGATATTTTTTATTATTGATATTTTACTACTATATTGATATACTATCACGACACTCCGCCACAGCCTTCTGGACGAGCGCCATCGAGAGATTCTGGCACGCGACCGCGATGTGGTGCCTGAGATCAGCGAGATAGTCGATTTCTCCGCCACCGTAGACCACCCTATTGAACTCCGCCCGAACTAGGTAATTGAGTGGGTTCAGGTCAGGGGACATACTTCAATATTACATCTTCTTCAGGTACGAAACGCCCTTCCATTCGAAGTAGGCGGGAGTTTTTCCAAAACCCTTCGATTCCATGTGGTGGCACCCAAACCTGTAGCAGCACAAGGTCTCCAAGAAGGTACGGGCGACCACATGTAGGGAGGATATTCTTCTCGAGTTACTTGATGTAACCGCCAGCGCTCACCTTCAGTCCGGGGTCCACGAAGAAAATATCGGTCTTTCCATTCCAGGTACGTCCGGTCCATACCCCGCGCCTTGGCGACTGCGGTGAAGATGATGTCCTAGACCGTAGCGACGTTGTCGGAGCTGCTCGATGTTGGAGGTCTTCCAGATTGAGAGTACTGGTCTCCAGGTAGCTATCCATGGGTGACTCCATACTAGAAGTTTCGCAGCTGTTTGGAGGTGACATGAGTTCCGAAGGTCTTCTCCAGTCAGGCTGCGACTGGAGATGACTTCATATTTTGGTGTACATGAAGGTGATGGGCGAGAGCCAGCTCCTGCTTATAGAGGAACATCTTGGGTATCCTTCCGCCCTGGTACTCGTATCCACGTCCTCTGTCTGGGCTGCAAAAACTTTGCTGATATGTGACTTGGTCAAAGTGACTTTTTTTTGGCCACCCCTGTATATGGGTGTGTCGCAGCCGACAGTGCAAATGTGCATCTCGGCATCAGTCTTACCGCCGTCTTTTGGCTCAAATTAGACGCAACATTTGAAAAACAATCGTTTGAAACAATATGTAGAGATTTCACAGAGCGATCAACTACGGAGGTCTTGGAGCTACGATTGGGCACGAAATCACTCACGGATTTGATGATCTAGGTAATGGTACATTCCTGCATTACTAACTTTACTCTCGAATGCATGCTTAGCCGATCATTTTCCATTGGAATTATTCCATTTCTCCATTCATTTCACTTTACGTCCTTCTTCCTTTTGTCCATCCATCAAACCAACGTTTTGAGGGCTTTTATATTAACTGATATCCGAAAACACAAATGAGTCACCTACCGCTCGCAGGTAACGGACTCAACGACACAAAGGTTATTAAATGCAGTGTCGAAAGAACATAGGGCCGAATGGGAGGTGTGCGTTGAAAACTGTCGGTTGTTTAGCTTGGAGAACGAAAGGCTCAAAGTAAAGTTTGATCATCGCTAGCTTAACTGAACATCGAACTATTGGACCTAACTTCATTTTACCAACCTAGGATTCGTCTAATTATTTCTATTCAATTTGGCTGTGAAGTTGACACAAGTGAAGTTGGAATCAGCTGCGAGCAGTGGGTGATGCGTTTATCCCTCCAACTGGGTGCCAAATATAATGAAACGGCCTTCAAAGCTTGACTTAATGCCGAATGTATTAGCGAACTCAAAATCTGATGATATGGCGCATTCTGAGGCTTTCAGGCTACTCAAAAGGGGCACTTTCCTGCCGACCTTTCCCATGTGCATAGCAACCACTTTTGTGTGCGAAGGGTCTTCTTCCGGATTACTGAAAAAAGAAACAGTTCGCCTCAACACCCGGGAATAATGTCATAAAGCTCCTAAGAATCAGAAATGCGAACAATGTATCGACCTCGTAGACACAGAAGTTAGCCTTCGCGTAGTTTCTCTGATATTCACCATTACTAATGAGTGCTAGGTAAGCAATTTGATGCGTTTGGTAACCTTCGCGATTGGTGGAACGCGAACACTACGCAAAAGTTCGGGAACGAGCACAGTGTATCATCGATCAATATGGGAGGATTGAGGTTCGTCAAGATCATAGCGCTGAAGAGATAGGCGCTTCAGTGTAATGAGTTGAAATTTTATAGGTGCCAGGTACTGCTCTAAATCTGAATGGTAAACTCACTCAGGGAGAGAACATTGCCGACAATGGAGGATTGAAGCTAGCATACAAGGTCAGTTCCTAGTAGCTTTGTACTGAAGAACTGACCACTAACGGGCCACCCTCACCGGCCCCTAATGCTAAGTTTTTGTCTTGACGTACTATCACTGCTTCCCTACTTCGCCCTGTCGATGATTGCTTCTTTATCACTATAATACGTCGTCTGCCAGTCGCTCAAAGTACGGATAGCCTAGCGGTCCAAAAAGTTCGACGATAGCTATATCAAAATAAGAACGGCTCCTGGTTCTATGAAGCAAGTTTCACACACACATTTTTTTGTTGGCTCTTATAACTCGTCGTTGGAGAAGATCGCTAAGGCGCTGCTTCTGCAGAAAATTGAGAGTTCAGCGGCTGAAGAGTTTCTGTCTTTACTGCTAGCGGACTTGGATTAATTGCATTCATTTATTGAGCCCATATCCTTTGCTTCTCTATCTACTACGTGGGCTGTGCTCACAGTGTAGTTGTAATGTGTGGCTCTTGTAAGCCTTTTCTGATCACTACGTCACTACCTATGAACAAACATCCAGGTGCGCGCTGCAGCGACTTCACCAATTCTATGTAGAAATGAACTCCCTTCTGTGACTACAACGCACAAATTCTTTTCAGGCTTACAGTATATGCCCTTCTCTTATCAGGTTTTACCAACTGCTGGCCACATACATACTGCTGCTGTTCTTGCAGCTATGAATTTGGTAACGCTTCCCCTTCAACTATCACTTCATTTTATCTCCACATATCACTTCCTGTCACCGACCAAAATTCTTTTTTCAAAAAATTTGCCCCCCCCCCTACTTTTTCGATCACTGTGACTCGTGACTTTTTGTTACACACACATAGACGAAATAGCGGGCCCTATACGGTGGGATAAACCTCCTTCTGCGAGGTCTCAGTCATTCTACATTACATCCAGTTTCATCATCATCATCCGTTCCATTCACTTTCAGTGCTTTTCTTATCCACTTTTTTTCTCTACTTTCTCTGCTACTTTTGTAATTTTCAATTTTTAACCAATTATGAGAAATGACAGCTCTCAAATTAGGAGAGCAAAGAGATCCCATCTCAAACGAAGCTTTTCCGGCTATGCATTCTTGTATGACGATTTTTTCGCAATTTTATCAAGTCTCTCCTTAATTTATGAATATTAGGCTTATAAGAAATATCTGGAGGTACACGGAAGAGAGAAGCGGATCAAAGGACTGGAAGAGTACGATAACGACAAAATGTTTTTCATTGGATATGCTACGGTAATTCATTATGGTGAGATCTTAACTGGACATCATCTCACTGTGTTGTGATTTTGTAGAGCTCTTGTGGCCACTCAACGCAAGATCAACTTATAGACCAGATTCTCACCGATCCTCATTCTCCAAATCGATATCGGTAAGCATGTTTGACTATTGAACCATTACAACCAATCAGGAAAATATCCCAGGAGGAAGTGGCAACCTGTTAGTAAATGTACCTCCACAAAGCGTTTTCGGACGTATCGTTCCTGAAATTCCTAAAATGACAGGATTATCAGCGGTAGCATTATGGAACTTATGAAAAAGGAGAAAGAAGGTCATGTTCAGACGAAGCAATATCCTTTGAAAAATCAACTCACTCATACTACCCCTGCTGTGTCCTGATCGCGGAATGGACTTTCATTTTAGAGGCGAGGTTCTACCAATCATCTTTTTCTCCGAAATCGCAGTGAACTCACAGGTTATTCAGCATTCGGATTGAATATAAGACTGTAATCAAGACCTGTGTCACTGGGCGCTTCGCTGAGTTTGCGCCTGAAGCTGCCCTTCAACTGAGCCATAGTATAGCGATCAATCAGAGAATACGCGATTCGATGCCTCCTCTCGTAGTCCCGATCTCGACCACAGAAGTGTCCACAATTTTCGGCGCCAGAGGTATTTGACACCGGACTGATAGTGGTGTAGGTGACAAATCAAAGGAGTAAAGCAGGCGAGGAAGCTGACAGAAGAAGGGTGATGGGTCGATGTAGCTCACAAAAATGAAATGTACAGGGGGGGGAAGACATTTAGACCGAGTCACATATCAGCAAAGTTTTCGCAGCCCAGACAGAGGACGTGGATACGAGTACCAGGGCGGAAGATACCCAAGATGTTCCTCGATAAGCAGGAGCTGGCCCTCACCTTCATGTACACCAAAATATGAAGTCATCTCCAGTCGCAGCCTGACTGGAGAAGACCTTTGGAATTCATGTCACCTCCAAACAGCTGCGAAACTTCTAGTATGGAGTCACCCACCTGGAGACCAGTACTCTCGATCTGGAAGACCTCCAACATCGAGCAGCTCCGTCAACGTCGCTACGGTCTAGGACATCATCTTCACCTCAGTCGCCAAGGCGCCAGTTGATGGTGGGGACCGGACGTACCTGGAATGGAAAGACCGATATTTTCTTCGTGGACCCCGGACTGAAGGTGAGCGCTGGCGGTTACATCGAGCAACTCGAGAAGAATATCCTCTCCACATGTCGTCGCCCGTACCTTCTTGGAAACTTTGTACTGCTACAGGATTGGGTGACACCACATGGAATCAAAGGGCGTTGGAAAAACTCTTGCCTACTTGGAATGGAAGGGCGTTGAGTACCTGAAGAAGGTGGAATATCTAAGCAGGTCACCTGACCTAAACCCCCTCAATTACCTGGTTCGGGCGGAGTTCAATAGGGTGGTCTACAGTGGCGGAGAAATCAACGATCTCGCTGAACTCAGGCACCCACTCACGGTCGCGTGGCAGAATCTCTCCGCTCCTCCAGAAGGCTGTGGCGGAGTATCATGATAGTATTTAATATGCTCTTTAATATGGTTGGTAGAAATGTCCGATCAGAATTTACTAAGTTGTAACTTTTAGGTCAAGGAAGGAAAAAGGCTTTTTTTTGTCCCCACACCCCCCCCCCTGTAACTGACATGATTACGCCCCCCCCCTTACAATGGATACGATTCTGCTTCTCATCTTTATGGTTCTAAGGCTACAGCCGGTAATATATTCGAAAGCACGTGAAATCTTCAATAGAATAACATTCGTACAAATTTTTGAGAAAATTTTCGGCAGTATAGAAAAGCTATCCGACTAGTAAAAAGATGTTCGCGAATGCATTTTGTAGCAACACCAAAGCCAGCCAACAGCAACTCCGAAAGTCACAAAGAAAAACTTCCAGCTTGGGTATTTCATTCTCGGAACGGCTTGCTGCATGTTATGGAGGTCCATGGGACTACGAAAGTGTAGCTCATTTTCGCTGAGCACCTCTGGAAAGGTCGATAGGGGGCGAGAGAGAAGTGCTAGAGTTCACGACGGAGTCGGAAGAAGAAGCTGTTCTAATCTTCGGATAAACGACGAGGCTGGTTTGGTACACGTTTCTGTTCGGACAAAGGTTTCCGACACCTTTAAACGCAATAAACTAAAGCGCAGGAATGCAAAACTTAGTAATTTAAGAAATTCGAGTCGTCATTCTATGGTCAGTCTTTGACGTTCCGAGAAGCGCGTAATGAAAGTGGCCGATGCACTTTTGTAGTCCCCATGATCCTCTGCAACATGTAGCAAACAGTTTTGGAAATGGGAGGAGACCTTCTGCCAAGCGACTTCTGAGTAACTCGATAGTGGAAAAAAGCGGAAAAAACATGCCAACTGCCCTAGATAGAACCCCTTTCGATCCCAGTTTGTACGTGCCCAGTTAACTCCATCTCCAACACTACGCCCTCATCCGCACAGCTGATTCCCCGATAAGAACTCTACGACCGCACAAATGACGACTTCCATACTTTTGTCCAGCAGTTTCGTTTTTCGCTGAGAAGGCGGGACTCGAAGGTGGAGTGGAGGCGGAGCGAGAAAATGAGGTGTTACTGGACCTATATTGCGCTATAGCGCCACTGCCTTACAATTTTTAGCTGCTGAGCCGGTACAATACTGCTTGTTGGGACCACACTACTCTACCTGCGCCATATTTTCAAATTCTGCCATTGACCATGCCTTTGAGGGTTAATATGGAAACAATCATACAGTAAAAAAACTAGAAGAAATTCAGGACGAGCCAAAAAATGGGATTTTCTTGTGTTTTAGCTCAACGGTGTAGCAACAGAACAAAGCCAGTACTTTGTTAGTTACCGATGCTTCACGCGATATCGGTATCGGTATGGGGATCACACCCCGGGTCGGCTGTCGGTGAAGTCAGGTTTTCTCACATTCAAAAGCCACTTAAATTCTAAGTGGGGATAGATGCGTGCCTTACCTTATCTAGTGACTAACCAGCGGCTTAAGCTTAGTCTTGCGAGCTATTTTGAACTTCCGAGCGCTTTTGATCCGACAAAATTCCTAGCTGGCCGTGCGGCGCATGAGCCGGAGTATGGAGATGGCACCTGGTGCCACTATACTCCAGCCCCGCTCCTTTTGTCTTTAGACTTATGTTTGCTCATGTGGAACTGAAGTTCACTTTCGGCCGCTCAACTCGTCATGTTCGAGTCTATGAAAGAAAAATCCAGGTAGAAGACCTGACCATGATCGATATAAGCAATACATTGCACATCCAAGGAATCATGGCGTCGCTTTGTAAACTGAAAAAGTCCAGATTCAGTAAAGCCTCCTAAAGCCTCCTCGCTCTGACACCCGTCGCTCGATGACTGTCCTTCCACTAAAAATCCCCGGACCCCGCGAATGCACATTGTGCATGAAGGCGTTCAATTGCAAATCTGCAGTCGTTTAAAGACTCTAGATTAAAGGAAGCAAAAACATAACACATGCAGAAGACTCCGGGACCCCCTGGCAGCTTCACTGTACGTGTTCTTCGGACCTGCTCGTTTAATGCCAGCAAAGCGACACTCGGAAGCCTCAAGCCCACTAGTTGCTTCTTCGCTGCAGGCGATAGAAAGTAGCCTTTGAGTTCCGATGGACGGAACCACAAGGGAGGTGTCGTAACTGCCACTCTTGAGGGCCGTAGCGCCTTCGTCATACACTGCAAAGCCGCCGAAGTGTTAGGCCGCGTTCATAGCTTGCGACCATGAAGAAATGCGGAAACTGCAGAAGTGCGGAATCTGCAGAAATGACGAAAAGCAATAGATACGTATCGATCTTGAAGAAATGCAGAAATGCGGAAATGCAGAAATGACGAAAAGCATTACATACGTATCGATCTGAAGAAATGCAGAAATGCCGAAAGTGAAGAAGTGCTGCAGAAATGCCGAAAGTGCGGAAAATCGATACGTATCGGTTGCTTTTCGTCATTTCTGCAGATTCCGCACTTCTGCAGTTTCCGCATTTCTTCAAATCGATACGTATCTAATGCTTTTCGTCATTTCTGCATTTCTTCATGGTCGCAAGCTATATGAACGCGGCCTTAGGCAGCGTTCAGGTCGCGCTTCGCAGCGCATCACGTATTATAGCGCTACAATTACAACGGCGCTCCAGAGCTATAGACGCGAACGCAGGGCCAGTCTCGAACGATATCACTGTCCGTGGCAGCCATTGAGCAATCTTAAAATCCTTTCTCCCATACTTTCTCGAAAAACAGCGTTCGCATACGGGAATCGGGCGCCGGCCGCCTGCTGCTGCGTTCGCGTCTCGACCTTTGGAGCTGTTGCGATTGTAGCGTCTGCGCGCGTTGCAGTGCATTACAACGCGTCGTCACGCGTCATAACGCGTTACAGTCTCGAGGACTGGGGGCTAGACTGCTTATACCAGGAAGAACTTACGAATTGGTTGAGCCGGAGACTGTCTCTGAAACAACGTACTGTTGACTCGATTCTTTTTTACTGTTGCCACATTCCAGTCCAGGTTCTCGAAGCTTTAAAGGACCGACGACATTCCTTCACGAATAAGTTCATCAGTAGAAATAGATCCCCACGGGCAACGGTTAGGACTCCATGAGAGGTCAGCCTGCCGCCCCGCAGTATTTTGGCTATGTGAGCGGCGTTTGCAAAGTCCATCAGTTTTCCAACAGTCTGCTTTATTACTTGCAGGTGTGAAAACTATGAAAGGAGTGGGCCCGATGTTCAACTTTAGTATAACAACGTCCATTTACATAGAAATAATATTTAGAGAATGTATCAGCAATCTACAAAAATTCATTTCAGGGTGAATCCTTCTTTTGCACTCAATTGTAAGGTATTGTAAGGGCCTAAGATTTGCGGCCAGACGGGGGTAGGTAGTATTAAAGAAATACAGCAATCCGTTGAATAAATACAGCTGCCATTCAAAAATATTGACGTCCCATTGAATATTCTGGTTTGGCAAAATGCCAAGCAGATTTGCGTGATGCCAGAACTATGTGAAGGGACCGGGATCTTAATCGCACGACTGTATGGGTCTCGTCCAATCACGGCAGCAATCGCCGCGCGCGGCGAGGCAACATGGCAGCCGTGACCTCTCGTGGAGTGTTAACCT